TCTCCCTCTCCCTCAGAATGCTTCTGCTAGTCCTGAAGTAGATCTCAGAAAGCCTCACAAGTAAAATCACGAGTAGCTGGTCCTGTCTCTAGAAGCTAGGCTGTTTCTACCTCTCTATCTACATACCCCTCTTTTCTCTTTCTACTTGCCCCTCTTTCCCACATCTAGCCAAGGAGGGCACATTTATGGTACCAGTTAACATGGAGCCCAACATTCAGGTGTGGGGGAAAATAGTTATGCTGGCTTTATAGCCTAGCCTCTCCCTTCCCTCACCCAAGCATCAGGGAGACCAAATGTTGGGCTGTCAAATACCAGAAAAAAAAATCTTTGTTCTGCTCCCCTGTGTAACATTGGAACTTCACTGGGAGTTGTTGCATTATTAGACCAGATACTTCTCAAAACAAATTGAGTCAATATGGAATATCAAACACATTTTTCAGTCAGACTAGAGGGTGAGATTTGCTCAGTAGGCTTTTTTTAACTAAATCATACAAAAGTGTTTTTTACCATCATGCAGATTTTAGAGAAATGGATAATTGATAAAGAAGAAATGTATTATCACTTTTTTTCAGGTGACTATGAAGATAATTACCTTATCTCCGATTAATAATTGTGCAAAACTTCTTCAAAAGTGCTGCACAATTTTTGATCATGGTATGCAAGAACATTCAACTAAGAAAATAGAAAAAAAATGCTATTCTCCCTTTTTCATGTCAGTAGCAGATAACTAAAATATGCACAGCTCTAAAAATATCTGGTGGCAGAATATATAAGCTACAACTTTTCAACTTCCTTCTTTAGATATGAAATTTCATTAAATGAATCACTGTAGAAAGTCTCACACTTTGAAAAGTACAGGCAGAAAGGGATGTTTCTGGTATCTATGACCCAGAGCAGAAATAAGTCATATAATGAGCATTTCTTAAATGATATTAGCTTAATAGGTGGTTACAGATTTTTCAGATCAATCAAATCATATCCTCTGCACCGGGAGTGAGATTAAAGAGAGGGCTCACAGTGACCAACTTTAAATGCAGTAAACTAATCTTTATAAGCTCTCTCTCCAGCCTTCCTTTTCCTTTCCTTTTCCTTTCCTCTTCCTCTTTCTCCTTCCCCCTTCTCCCCCTGCTCCATAAAGAACCTTTTTTAAAAGGGGCTCAGTAAAGTTGTTCTAAGGATACCTCCCACGCTCCCCGATGCAGTTCACCAGAGAAGTCAAATTAAGAGACCAAGAAACTCTCAGGACAAATGACTTCCAGCAAATTCAAGTACTCCTAGTTGGAATGTACTGCCAATAGCACCCTGCTTGCTAAAACAAGAGGGTCTGTGTAAGCAGCTCTCTGGGAGCAGGTCTGCTGATTGCTGTATTATGACACAGGGAGGGAAGGGGAAGACGCTTGCTGAGAAAACTGATCCAAGACCCCACTATAGTCAGTGCAATCACTTACTTGGAGGTCAGCAGAATTTAAAAGGAACCAAGTTCCTAAAGTATGTAGACATTCCTAGGTGTAATTAGCATTTCCTCAGTGGTTATGCATTTGTCTTGAGTGCCCTCTTCAAAGATTATAAAAGAAAGTCAAGTACGTCTTCAAAAAATATGCTTTCCAATTGTCTGATTCTCAAATCAATCTCTCCACCATGCAAACATATCAAGAGCTGTCTCAAAAGACCTTGAAAGGCAGATCTTCTAGCAAGAAGTTAGCCACAAGTGCTTTGATTAAAACAGATTCACAAAACTTCAGGCATCACGGATCTGTTGGATTTTCAATTTCTTTTGAATTTACCTTTGGAATTAACATACTATTAGGTTCTATAATCTACAATCTTATGCTGGACTGCTGATACTGTTTATGCTGAGCAATGCCTGCAAACCTTGTGAGCCCTTTTATGCAAGAAGAAGAAGAAGCTTACTCAAAAAAAAAACCCAAAACCAAAAACCAGCAATGACCTTTGTCTCAGTTGAGTTATTATTTAAGTTTAACAAATGAAGACAAAACTTTGAGAAGAACTAATGTTCTGTTTTAGGAGAACAACTTCTCCTGCTTTTGCAGCTTCTATGAAGGCTGAGCACCTTCCTGGTGCTTCAGTTTTCTGAAGTGCACCTAAACTACTAGGTGTGTTAGCATGATCATTGTATTTGAATTTCAGATAAAAAAATTTGTATTTTCCAGTCTGAGGGGAATACTTTGACTTTTATTAAGCAGCACAAAGGGTCTGCATCAGCATAATGATGCAATTATTATATCCCAACAAACAAGGCAGGATGAGCAAAATAATTATCAAGATGAGATCAAGTTGAAAGTGGTGTACCACAGAAGGATGTTGAAGCTGCAAAGGAAAATTAGGTATGAGCTCTTAAAAAATGTAATCCTTTACAACTTGAGAAGATGATGTGATGAGGAAGAACATCATCAAAATACCACCCTTGATCCAATTTTGCTTTCAGTTGGGCAGGTGAAAGCCAGCTAAACTAGTGGTGCCAGAAGGCAGCACTAATATGAAGAAGAAAGAAGTCCAGGGTCTCCTGCAAACTGCTACTGAAACCACTGAACTCATGAGTAGCAATCACACACCTGCTCACAGGGCATCAGATGGTGAATTGGCACTACAAGCAAACACTGGAGTTAGACACACATGCAGCAATGTTTACACACACAGATATTTTGCTTGAATAAAATAGAAAATGCATAATTAAAAACAACAACAGAAAAAGAAAAATATGAGCTAATCAAGAATGTTCTTTACTGGTTTTGTTTTAGTACTCAAAACACTTCACTGGAGATTTTATGAAATAAAAAATATGCATACCTTGGCATAACTCTCCTAGGGAAGACTGCAAAATGTAAAGACAATTCCTTTTATAAATACACTGACAGAAAAATGGAGTTCTCACACTTATAAAAATGAATAATTCTGGAGCTGTCCTCCAGAAATCTATTTTGGTGGTGGTAAGTAACCTGAAAAGACTCATCTGGAAGATAGCTCCATTAATTTTCAGACATTGCATTACCGGAGGCAAGCACAGGGAGTAGGTACATAGTCTGGAATCCATCCATGTAACACGCTCTAATTATAACTTGTGTGTCATCTTTCCAATAGGCTGTGTGCTTACAAGAAACTGTCACTGGCTTTTGACATATGGCAGAGCAATTGGGTTGATCAGGGGTTTTAACCTATGGGATCTTGAGAGGGTCTTATTTCTATTTATGTTTTTTCTTCTCAGTAGAGTGGCATACTGTCAGGTGCTGTAGATCTACGACATGGGTGAGTAGTCTAGTTTTCCTTGGTAGTCAGCAGAGAGAGTTGACCTCTGGAGGCCATTTTAGAGCGATTAAATTCATCATTGTTTTTTACTTATGGAGTTTAGATTCCTGAGAGAAGGCACATAAATCAGGTCATTTCCAAGCATTAAAAAATGCCTCATCATTAAAATTTCAATAGTGTATATCGATCTCATAAGCACAGAGCTTGATCAGAATTTGCATTTATTCTTTTTCTACCAAGGTGAGCAAGTAAGCAAGAGCTATAAAGTAGCTTTATCTGGTGATCTTATTTTAAATGATTGATTCCTATAAAATTAGTAGAATGAGCAGCAGAACATAGCCTTGTACAAGTGAATGCACTTTAAGAGAACACCTTCTTTCACACAAATTTCTGGAAAGCTCTTTTCAATAAGTGCCCTGAAATTGTTTGGTTTTTCACCCATTTTACCTGTTAGATTGATTCATATGTGTAATGAGGTTGTATATAAAGAACAGCATCCTTTGCTGCTGATTTGTGCCCTTTGTGCAGATCCGAAGAATGCTCATCATGGGTCAGTATCTAAATTCCTTGAGAAGGAAAGTCAACATGATGTGAGAATTTGAAAGAATCATATGAAAGAGAACTTTTCAATTAGCAGATTGGATGCCTGAACTGATCAAATTTTGATTCTCTAGTCTCATGCTTTTTAAAACTGAAGTCATAAAAATACAGAATTTCTTTATTATCTAATAGGGAAATTACACAGGTAATGTCTAGCCTGGTGAGCAGCTCTCAAGTAAGGTTAAGTACTCAGTGAACTTTTCACTTGGGGATTGAGTTCTAGATAAAAATTTTGGAAATCCAGCCAGACCTCTGTTGTTATTGGTTACTCAGATTTATTTTTTAAATATTTTTTTAACATGAATTGGATTTTATACTGTCTAGAAATGTATTACCATATTTTTGTCATAGTTCCAAATTTGATCTAAAACCTTTCTGTTTTCCTGGACTGAAGAATAAGGGCATGCATGGGTGCCCACGCACAAAAACATAAAGAAACAACTCTCCACCTACAAAATACCAGTAATGAAAATAACCATATCAAACCACAAATGTCAAAGTCTAGGTAGAGAATCACAGAACTGATTTAACACATCCTCTTTAGATTCTTTAGGTGTTCTCCGAGACTAAAAGTGTGTTGCAGTGTTTTTTAGTCACCATTCTCTTAGGACAATGGACTTATCAAAAGGCAAATAAAATTAGATCTTTTCAAGGAAGCAGTGTTTCAATAATAATTATGAAATTCCTGCTGCTCCATGACAGTGAGAGGACTGTACCTTATCTTTCTACAGTGATTACCTGCAATAAACTGACCTAGAAAGTCCCCTTTCTGGACCTGTATTTCTTTATGTAGATGAAAAAGAAATTAATTTGAATAATTTTCAATTCTGTTTGTTATTTCTAAATATCTCTATTTGTGTGTTTCTTGTGAAAGAAAGAGGGAAATACTGGGCACTTTTTAACAAGTAAACCCACAGCTTTAGCTGATTATTAATTTTCAGAGAATAAAGCTTATTATGAGCTATTATGAGTTTGAAGTAAATTATATTGTTGTGATTCAACCCCAGCCAGCAACTAAGTACTCCCCCTCCCCTGATGGGGAGAAGAATTGGGGAAAAAAGCAAACCTTGTGGAATGAGATAAGAATGTTTTAATGACTGAAACAAACCCAAATATACTAATAATACCAATTAGAATAATAAAAATAATAATATTATTTTTATTTAAAAGGAGAGAGAAAAAGTAATAAAACCCAAGAGAAACAAGTGATGCATAATTTAATTTCTCACCACCCAGTGACCAACACCCAGCCCATTCCCGAGCATCAATTATCAGGACCTGACCAACTTCCCCCCGTTTATTGACTGAAAACATCATTCTATGGTTCTTTGCCCAGTTTGGATCAGCTATCCTGGCTGTGCTCCCCCAGCTCCTTGTGCACCTGCTCACTGGCACAGCGTGGGACACTGGAAAGTCCTTGACGCAGGGTAAGCACCACATAGCAACAACCAAAACAGGAGTGTGTTATCAACATTATTATCACACTAAATCCAGGACACAGCACTGTACCACTGACTAAGAAGAAAATGAACTTTATCCCAGGCAACACCAGTGTCTGAATTTATTAATATGCTATATTTTATGTGATTAATAAAGTTCAATAGAAAAGGCTCTGACTTGTAACAGCTTTTGAGTAAAAGGGAATCTAGGAAAGCAAGATATTAAACACAATTTTTTTCCCCATTCAGCTGTATTTCTTTAGCACAAACTCTTAAGCAAATTTCAGGACTGATTAATCAAAGTAGTCAGTCAAGATCATAATTGGTTGTTCTTATGAATTCCCTTCTAAACACCACTTCAAATCTCTAAGATTGCTATTATGCAACTGCATTTATTATGAAAAACTAGAATGAGCTAAGGTGGCTATCTATTATTATTCACATGTCAAATAATAGTGTCATCAACTGAATAAGAAAGTTACAAATTCTTTGTGCAAACACTTCTTTATTTTTGAAATTTTTTTCACTATTTGTCAATAGTCTCAGTAAAGGAAGTGCCAGGACAGATCCACTGCCAAATACAACACTCATTACCCCATGCAACCCATTGAGAAGGGATACTCAAGCCACTGAAATGTCAGCTGTAAACAGCTGCTGCTTGAGTGACCGATTTAATACTTGTTCACACCAAGCACAGCAACAAAACCTCTTCCATTTATTCTTCTTGGTATAAAACATCCCCACGCTTACAGTAAGGGACCTAACTTTGGCCCAAATTAAACAAATTATTTAACCTGTGGTTACTGCTCTAACAAGATGATTTTCATCCTGCCTTCAGGCAAGAGCTGCATTTTTGCTGTATTATGGGACCAATAATACAATAATTGCTGTATTATGGAGCCTGCACAAGGGGAGCTGGTTGATCAAACCACACAGTTAATTCTGGGGACCCAAACTCCACAATAAACATATTTCCAGCAGTTTTACCCTAACCCCACTCAGTCTGCTTGAGGCACTGGACATCCACCTGCTGGCAGCACACTCTGTGCACTCTGAAGTGTATCGTATGCCCAGCTCAGCTTCAGCTGTAAGGCAGCCTCCAGGCTCAGCCTGAGTGGGAAGAACTGAATTACAGGAACAAGTGTCAGCTAGGGATTTGTTTCAAAAACACACTCCTGAAGAAAATTCATATGCTAATGCAGATATAGCCTAAGCGAACTCCTGAGTTTCCTTGCATTCAGCCTTAATTAATGGGTTTTCTATGTCCTTCACTTCTGTCCTTGACAAGAATTTAGGCAAGATTTATTGGAAATAAATCTCCAGAGCCTAATTTATGCAGGCTTAACTCTGTGGCTGAACAGCAGTAGCAACTTCAGGGGAAGTGACCTTATGCAAAGCTGTTTGGATACACTACATTCCACTAATACAGGGACTGTTCTTTGTCCATAATCCTTTAACCAGTTTCTTATTATATTCAAAGTCGCTGTTTTGCCCTTCCATCAGATGAGCTCCTTGTTGTCATTCAAGGGAATATCAGCCTCTAAAATAAATACAGACCCAGTTTATTTGCAGGGATTTAACAATTTGGTATGCATCTATACTTCTAATTCTGTTCAAGTCAATGATTGTTTCTTTTTGGTGTGTGTGAGAAAAATTTGAAATCTGTATCTAGACAGCAAACATGAATCCAGATGTCTTAGAGCAAAATATCGTCCTATAGTATGACCAGCCTGAAAAGTAGGGCATAATGGGTACTTAAAAAATACATTTAAAAGGAGAAGCCCTTCAGTGATCATCTGTCTTTTAATTCATGGTGAAAAATAACAGACCTTCCCCATATCAGTTAAAGACAATTCATCAAGAAAGGTCATTTTAGCATTCAACTATTTCTGCACTGACCTGAACCTAACAGAGTTCAGTATCATTTAGCTTAGCTTCATCCAAAAACTGAATCTAGTTCTTAAATGAAAATGCACAAACTCAGAAGACAGCCAAAGCAAGGCACACTAATTGTGGGGTATTTGTTAGACTCTTAATGTTAAATCTAATAAATTTTTATTAATAAAAAAAGTTAATAAAATTATACTTAGCATGGTTTGTGATAAGAATGAATGTTTCTGACACAAGTTTTAATGACCAGTTTGGAATGTAGTTCAGTAAGCTGGCACTACTCTGAAAGTAGAATCTGACTTGTTACCAAAAATTACATGAGATCCTGTCAGCTTTTGCATTAGCTGCAGCATGATGGTGCTTTCCATGACGCCTTGCATTTCTGTATATTTTGTGTCCAGCCTTGACGAGATACAAAATATTAAAGAGGTAATCAAGGCCTAGGGATGCTACCGTTGAAGCAACAGATGTCTGATGGAATAACCTATAGGACAGGGCAGGTCCTGAGGCCCTGGTGTGAGCTGCTGCACACACAGCCCACAGGAAAGCACAGTTTAGACCTTTATGAACCAGCACCATAACTCAGCCAGTCACTGATGTGGAAGCAGGTGGGCTCTTCAAATGGGAAGGATCTTGTCCTGAAAGCAGAAGGATTTGATCCTGATTATGAATTTGATTAATGTAAAGAATCCAAAGAGGGGTGTGTCACTGAGGGTGCTCAGTGCCTCTAAACTCAGCTTCTCATGCATCTGGTGCTGCAGCCCAGAGCCTCATTTCATCTGCTACTGTCACAGATCTTACTCCTGCCTCTCCACACATCCCTACATTACACCAAGTAATTAAAACCAGCAAAGTGCTTAATATCATTATAGGCTAAATAACTTTGACCAATTTCCTTCATCTTTTTAGAGTTCTTGCTGCATTTTCATAAGATTTAATATTGCCTTTGAAATCATAATTGATGATGCTTCTTTTGCAATATAAGCATAATCTCCTTTGAGTAATAAGTGATTGGAGAAACTTTATCCCAGAAGATCAGCATATTGATTTCATTTATACCAGTGAAGGAAAACCCTGAAGAAGCAGATATTTACAGAAAAATTACCCTAAAATTAGAATTTTCCCAGGAAACTGCATCTTATTACACTATGATTTTCTTATCATGATTTTGAGCATAAAGTTGGTAGCTCAATTATAAAAATCACTTGCTACAAATCTTTCAGCTATACAAAATCTTTACCAGTCTGACAATGCCTTATTTATATAGGCAATATCCCCTGTAAGGACCTTACAAAAAGGTTCAAGATAATTGATAAACTGGAGAACACTTAATTCACAAAGTTTTGTCCAATTTCCTTGAAAATTACTTTTGAGATGATGGTTCTTTCCTTACAAGTCTATTTTCTAATATTTGTATGCTCCTTGAGTTCAAACTTAAACCAAGTTTATTTTATTACCATTTCATGTTTGTGTTTGAAGATCTGCCATAAGACAACCTCATTAAAGGGATTTGTATTGTACCAAATATGTAATTCAACCCTAAAGTTTCCCTAGGCTGAAAGATTTCAGGCAGTGGATGCACAGCCATCACCAGGGAGTTGTCCCCTTGTCTCTCTCACTTCTAATCACATTTCTATGCCCTGCTTTTTCCTGTTTCTTTTTCCTTTTTTCTATTTTTCTTTTCTTTTTTTTTGTCTCTGGCAGGTCATAATGTTATATGCAATGAGGGAACTAATGCTCTCTGCTGTAAGATTTGACCTCAGCCCAGTCTTCATCTGTGAAGTGGGATGAAATATTCTTGCTTTTCCAATCATGGAAAGTAGCAAGTGCTCTCTTATAAGTCTTCACAAGCAGACAAGAAATCCAGTTCCAGTTTAACTGTCATTAGTGATAAAAGTGTACTGATTGAAAGGAATTTTATCCTCTTTTATGGTAGCAGTACCAACCTATTTATAGTAAATTGTTAGGAAGGGAAGGAAAAAGGGAATTAAGAGCTTTTGGCCTTAGATCTGGGAATGCTTTAACAAAATTCCATTCAAGGTTTTGGTGGTACTACCACTTAAGCACATGATTAGCTATTCTGCTAGTCCTATAAAAATAATATGATACTCCTACCTGTGGAAGCCAGATAGCTACTTACAGGTATTTTCCATATGGTTGTCTTAGTGGCAGTCGAGTTTTGAATTTCCTTTAATTATAAGTATGAAGTAATTAGATACTGATTGATCATGTCAAAATGTCATGCCTTGTCAAAATAGGAATATTAGGAGTTAGAAATATTAATGTTAACTAAAAGTTGAAGGATTTTTTTACTGGTCTAGGACAAATAAAACCCAGAAGAATTTTCTGAATAGCTATTTAGAGGTTGTTGTTTAGGAAGATCAAACAGCTGCATGTCTGAATTGGAGCACAGGGATTCTATTCTTATCAGTAATTGACTCGCTTTCACTTTGTGGGAACAGATAAGAAAACAATCTTGTTGCTGGGTTGTTTTTTAGAGAATTGATGAGACACAAACATAAGCAAAGGGATACACAGTTCACCCCATCTGCAGTCATCAGGTCCAGACAGGAAAATTATATTGAGACTGGTTTCTCATTAGGTATTCATGCATCTCAGGCCAGTAATGTACCTGAGCAATTGAAAAACTGCCTGGGAATTTACTAATGACAAGGGAGGGGAAAAAAATTAAATCTGATTACTTGCTCAGTGTATAGCATTAAAGATGGCCATGGAAATAACTGAGTCTACAGCTCTCATACCCAGTCTTCCAGCTGTAAGCTTTTCCCAGAGATAGGTGTTTTTTTTTTGTTGTTGTTGTTTTTTTTGGTTTTTTTTTTTGGGGGGGGGGTTTCAATTGTAATTGAAACCAAAGAATCAATCTATAGTGCTAAAATGTAACATAATCTGCCTTTTTCTTTTTTGTCCAGTTTAAAAATCTAGTCAGGAACAGCAACTTCAAACAAAGAGAATTTCTACCATCTCCTTTTATTTTTATTGTGGAAGTGCAGAAACTCCAACCACAGAGAAACATTCATTCCCTTCTGCTCCTGTGACAATCTGCCATCCTTCATGACTGGATCTTGTCACATTGTGAAAAAACTTGTGAATCAGAGAGTCTGTACCATAACACAGAGAGTGGGAGGCTTAGCAAACAGAAGCTGGGTTCCTGCCCACAATTTTTAAGGCTTGTTTCAGCATGTTGCTCATTATTCAGTACCCACTATCACTCAGAGAAATTGCCAAACTACCACACAGGGTACACCATTTATTGTACCTTTGCTGTACATTTCAGAGGATAAGGTATGAACATTCAATCAGGTGTTTGGGACTGTGGACAAGGTATCACAAAAAAAAAACTTTTACCTCTGAAAGGAAGCAAGTATCATTCTGCTGATAATTTTCCCATATCATGCAATTATTATGAAATCCAGCTAATGAGTAGCAGTCCAGCACATCCATTCATTAATCATTGGATGCTCTTGTGGGGTATTTTAATGGAATTAACTATATTAAATAGCACTTTATCTGATGTTAAATCATATTATATTCCAACTCTTTAATTAGTTTTCTTGAATACTGATTTTTTTTGCATGAGCTACCATGCACTTGAAAGATTATCTAATACCACATCAACCACGCAACCATAAATGACTGAAACAAGAAAAACAAAAATGTTCTTGAACAACTTCCACAATTAGTGATAGTACAGTAAGAAAGTTAAAGAATTCTCATATTTCTTTACAAATATTTGAAGTTTAAAAACTTGATTCACTTCATACTGTTTAAAAATACAGAAAGAGCCAGCACTAATTTTATGAAGTGGTTAAAACACATCTTGCTGGAAAGTGAACCCATGCCCTTCCACAGAAGAATCTGGACCTGCCAATGATATTGCTGAATTCTTTAGACCATCATCTTAAGAAATCACCTCTTATAAGGAACAGTCACTCCAATTATAATCCCATATTTAATCTATTATTAGGAGAAAAGGCTAAGATAAGAGAGTGTTTTACTGCCATTTACATTTAGAAATGTATATCTCATTAAGCACATTCAGATCCTAACTTTTCAAAACACGGATGTCCAGGTACACTGATGAAAACTTCAGACTTCAGATTCCAAATTCAGTTTTATTTAGGTGCTTTCAAAAGTCACATTCTTTTTCTTCTTCTTCTGGTAAACATTTCACTATTAGCAGTCACTTAAAACGGGTTACCGAAACTTTATTCTAAATGTATGTGACCCCAGCAGTATAAAGCAGTTTCTGCTTCCCATGAAATCAATCAGCTTCCAGTAATTACCTTTTTCTAGCAACTAGATTTTCAGTGGTTCACAAAGTGCACTGTAAAATTAAATAACATTTTTTTTTTTTTTTTTTGAGCCAAGAATGTCAGGGATTTAAAAATTTTTATTTTCCAGTGTGCATTTTCCTTTATTGTAATAATACCATGTTGTTCAGCCTAAAATCCACTGTGATCCTGAGATCTTAATCTACAGTGCTTCTGCATTACCTGCTGTTCCTCATTTGAATGAGAGTAGGTGTTATTCTGCCACAAAGGGAGTAGCATTTGTGTTCAGTCTTTCTCAGATCTTTTTGATTTCTACACTTGCACTTGAATGTATTGACAACAGTGTCAATGAATTTATTTAGTGTAGTCTTTATTCCGCAACTCATGTAACAAAATTACTGAGAAGGACATGTCTGAACTAAAACTTTTTGCCATTATCCCATTCAGTACATGAGTTGGTTTTGACGTTGAACCATTGTTAACCCTGAAAACTATATTCAGAAAGAATATGAATGTTCTAATTTCATTTATACAATCTCAGCTTGTCCAGCTACCACAGTGATGTCAGTGATATCAGTTTTTTTTTCCAGTTACCACAGTGATATCAGAGTTATTACCAGTACTGAAAGAAGAAAACATATTTCTGAGTCTTCACATTTAATGTCTTTGTTTAGTTTGTTGAATTAAAGACAACCCTTAGGAAAAGTTAAGGCTATATTTTTTTTTCCTTTTATTTTTCTAAAAAAAGCACTTCAGCTCCTGCGTACACAAATCCCCACTAATTACCTCATTAAAAAAAAATAATCTCTAGATGCAGTTTAAAGAAATACAGATGCATCATTTACTCCTCATTGTCCTCCTTCAGGATTTCAGCCAGGAAACCATTCAGCCGTACAGATTTCATTACTGAAATAGATGGAAACATCAGCTTGTGTAAAAGCTTCGAGCAGAAAGGAACGGAAAGGCAAGATCAGTTTTTCTTTGTCAATTTTCCCCTCCCCAGCTCCATTTCTGCTTTGTCGCGTTCCCGCATCGTTCGTCCGGCAGCTCCTCGGGCTCCCTCTCGTGGGTGCGGGCAGAGGCTTCGCCCCCCGTGCTGGTTTCATCAGCATTTCATGCTCCAGAAGTAATTAAGAAACCACTAATTTACTAAAGTGTAAAGCTTCGTGTAGCCTACCTGTGTGATCTAGATCATAATATACTTCCTGAGCTGAATAATATTTAAAAAATCTACAATGATTCCTTTTCTTCCCCCCTCAATTTCTTTTGGGGTTTGAAAAGAGAGAAATAGAAGATGCAACAAACCAGTAGATTAATATCCCATGATACCCATGCTCATGATCCAAATAAAACACCTAAACACAAAATTTCAGGTAAGCAGCCTTTAATCTTTCTTTACTCAGGCAAAATTCTCCAACAATCTGGCTGTGTCATGCTTCCTCTTAGCTGGCATTCCTTTATCCCAACTCAGGTGTGGATGGGCATTTTCTCTTGATCCCCAGGATACTGCAAGCTAGTATGGGAGAATTTCTAGATCAAATCCCAGTAGATACAGCCTTCTTTTGAGCAGATATCCAGCCAGCTATAACATTACTATAAATTTCTAAAATATATCCATAATCAATATAATGAAAAGTCTCCTCTAAAGGCTCCAGAAAAATAAGCTGTTTTTGTTGTTGTTGTTTGTTTTTTTAAGCTACAGCAACAATATTAATAATTTTATATTGTAATTTTTTGTATTAAACCATAATTATTTGAAACTGGAAGCAACACAGGAAACTGCAGGAGGCAGCCCCAGATCACAGATCATATGCTCAACAAGTCTATTTTACCTGGAGGGCCTTTGCAGATGAACAGAACTAAGACTAAATAATTTTTCACTTAGGTTTACGCTAACCACACTTCTAACAATTATTGCCTTTTCAGAACTTCTTATGGTTTAAATACCTGTATTTCATTTCCAAGAAATAGCTCAGTACAGAGATAATGAGAAACAGATACTGAATGATAAATACATATTTTTATGATCATGACTTCAACACTAAGAAGCTACCTGCTCTTCAGTGTATCCAGAAAATAATGCTCTCAGGTAAATTCTGACTGTTAGAATAAACCTGTGGAACAGCTTTAGGCAGCTCAACACATCACTGCTAATGGTGCAACCCTGTCCAGGATAAGATCTGCTGGTGTACAGTCTTCCTTCCTGAAGTTTATGATGGTCAATCAAGCTTGTGAGTATGAACACAAAACTGTTTTGAGGAGAGAAGCCTATGAATGTCGTCTGACACAATGACTACATAGAATGCCTTGAGAGAATTTCAGCTTCGTTTTGAGTCCTTGGCAGTAGCACACTGTTCTCTGCTTTGCATAAATATAGCCAAAATCTTGAAGAAAATATGTATTTATTACACATTTTTTTACATTAAAGCTTTCTATTTTAGTGATGATAATAAATACAAAAATAAGTGATTTATATGGCTATGCAAGTGGCCATGAGTTAGTTTGGTATAGGATGATTCAAGTTTGTCTGCATTAGGTTTTCCAAAGTGTTTTAATGAATATTTGCTCGTTCATTTTCTGTAACCTAACACAGCAAAAATTTCAAGCATTGAAATATTCCTTCAGAATTTTTGTAAGGAAATGTGTACTACAAGAGCCTAGTGCAGAATTGCCCTAAGACAATTTAAACGGAAACCCATTCTCTTCAATCATTACTATGTAATATTGCCCCTCTTTGACACATAGGTTTTTCTATGCTGTTGCAAAGAAATCATGTAATTGCAAACATCTTGGTCTTAGGAAAGATCACAGTATAAAATAATAGGAAGAAAGGCAGCAAGCTCATGAAACAAAACCCCCAAAGTACTTAAATTTAATTAAATTCAATTTGGGTAAGCTCTGCTGAGGATATAACAGCACTGCTCTGGGTTCTCTGCATCTCAAAAGGAATGTTTTATCTATTGATTATTTTTTCCTACATGGAAAACATCTGAGGAGCTAATTCTGTCTCCAGGAAACAACTGATAGATACAACTGAGAGATAGTGTTCTTGACATTATATTTTTGGGAAAGAATAGGAAAAGATCATACTCATGAATAAAGTCATCCTTTCACAACTGAAACAGTTCATTGAAGATTCTCAGGCAGATAAAACAAGCTATCGCTTCAATCCAGATGTCTCTTTTGAATATTTTTCTTTTAAAAGTCTTTAATAGAAGTATATTAAAAAAAATACGAGAAATATGACTAAAGTAATTGAAAAGTGTTTTTACATGTTAGTTTCTGTGGTCATATTCTTTCCCTTCAGTATTTCAGTTTTTCCTTTAAAAAATTAAATCCAACACAGGTCATCATAACAAAACTAAAAAGCTTGCATTTTAATTTATGTTACCATATTAAAGTCTTAAATGTCCATGTGAATATAGGCTGAGGATTTCTTTGGTAAATAACTTTTTATAAAATGTCAAAACCTGATAGAAACTTGGCAAAAACTTACAAGGTTCCATCTGAGCCAAATTTCATCAGTGATAGATCTCAAACTCAGTTCACTAAGAATTCACTCTAACCTAATTAAAAAAAAAAAATGGAAACATATTCACAAAGTTATGCCAATTCTATAATCTACTAGATTGATCCTGTGATTGATTTATTTCTGGACAATTACTTGTGGGATATCAGTGGAAGATGAACATAATTAGAGCACAAAAATTTTACATTTTCTTGAAAAATAGAAGCTTCAAAAGGTGGCTTCTGGAGTTGTTTTAAAAAGGGAAAAGAAAAGATACAGCAAGAATCTAACCAAGATAAAATGAGTTAGTGTGTATTCTTTCCAAATCCAAACTAAAACTAAAAATCAATTTCTTGAAAATATCAAAGAAAATACAGGAATAATTTCTCTTCTGACACTCAGTTTGTCACTATATTAAATACGAAGCCACCCTATTTGCATGTTGATTTACACAGATTACCCCAGGACTCCTTGAGGTGAAACATCTCACAAATAATGTCATGAGGGCATTTGATGACCAAAATCAAGCACAGCTTCTCATGCTGAGATGTTGACACAAAGAACTGGGCTGCACCTGGGAATGACAGGAAAAGTTGGATTTGTAAAGGCACAAAGTATGGGTGCTCTGCCATCGAGTCTTCTTGCAATGCTTCTTCAGGGTAGTCTATATAATCCTCTGGATTCACTAAAAATGACCATTGTACACCAAGGCACGTTGCTATTTTCTTTCCAGGAGGAAAAGCCAAGGAATCTTTTTTGTTGGATCAAATTTTTACCTCAAGTTCCTCCACCAGGTGGACACATATGAAGCTGTCTCCACCAAGGGCTGCTTATCTCCAGATATTGAAAAATACCTGCAGAAGCAGAGAGAATACACCATTTTCCATATTCTTAGATAAGAGAGGAGTATACTTAAATTGCTGCACTAGGAATGTAAGTAATAAGTGAGATTTCTAGTTGCAAATGATAGCTGAGGACTACAAGCGTCTACAAAGTGCATGGAGGAGTTTCCATCAGTGCTGTTCTTTTATGATAAATAGGTATTTATGAAGATTGGTTGCACATCATTAATTGTCTTTCCTTCTGACTTCTGTTTGCCTTTGGAGATGTGGGGCGGATAGATTAGGAAGTCCTCCAGAAGAAACCTCTTCCATGGAGCTCTGCACATGCCCAGTGAATTTTGAGAGATGAGGGCAGGGAAGGCAACCACTTCTATAATTTTGGTGAACTTCAAATAAATCCTGAGTAATAACATCTCCCATGAAATGTCAGAAAAATGAAAAATAGGATCACTTTAATGATCTGGATTCTGAATGAAGCCCTCTCCCAGAGCAAATTAAAACACTGCACAGCTGAGCCTGAATCCGTAAGCCGCAACTTAGGCAGTTACGAAAACCAATAAAAAAGTAAAGTCTGGCTCAAACAAAGCTTAAGCTACCTCCATCCACTGCAATAAAGTGTTTCAGTAATTACCTGAAAGTAAAACTGGTCTCTGTACTGTCAGAAAAAAAATTGCAAGAGCTGGGGAAAGGATTCACTAAAGCCCAAAGAGCTGGCAGCAGCAGTGAAATTGGCTTCTGCAAGAACTGAAGTTGAGACCTATGGCAACTACAGAATGAATCTGCTGTGCTGAATTTGTTGTTCATCTCTATATGTTAATTCTCTCTCCTTGAATTCTGATGCAACCAAAGTCCTAACAGCTGCAAAATGATGTGCATCATACAAACCTGTAAAGGATAAATAATCTTCTAGTCATCCCCAGAACTTTGTAACTGGAAATAATTTTGTCAGGCTATTTAACTAGAAGATAGATATATTTTGTAAAGCAGACAGGATCTGATAGTAATTCTACTAGTAGTTATAATGAAGACTAATCTACATTAGGGTTTTTGTTTCCTGACTCACAATTGAAACCATGACAGTCTGACATACAAAATTAAAAGAAATGATGCACTAGAAGTTTTTGTCTACAAAAATCCTATTTGTTTTTACTACATCTTTGCAAGGCCTTTGCACAGTTATCGAGGTATATTTTTACCATTTTTCTACACATTCTACTTACATAGGTAACCATATAAAAAGTCAATATTCCAAGAAAAATCAAAATTATGATTTATACTTTTTTTTTTTTTTGGACACGTTGCCTCCAGGAAAACAGCAATCCACTCACATTTTTTTCCTTCATAGATGTATTTTGAGCCATCTCCATGCTCCTTGGCAAGGTGTATAAATTGGATTTTGCTTCTCTTGAATGGGGAGGACTGGTGACAAGCCAAGTCCAGGGTGCTGCTGACACACAAGCCCTCTCTGAGCACTGTGGAGAGCCTGAAGGAGCCAAGGTTGCTGTGACTGCTGCTGCCAGGATGGAGGAGAGTGTAG